AGATTGTCCCAAATGTTGTCTGTTTCTGCCTCTGAATATGACAGTTCTATAGCATGAAGCAGTCTCTTTTGGCCTTTCATTGTTTTAGGCTTGAAGATCTGTTCTTTGTTCTTTTCTTTTAGATGTTTGTCCTTATTTTTGTGCTGTGTATGACAGTATTCTTAACTCTATGGAGGGTAAAATATTAACAATTGAAATGAAAATTCATAATGCAGAGTCTAAAAGTAGGAAGCTATTCAAAATTTGCCAAGTCTAAACGGGATATCTAAATCAATGTCATGCACACATTTTTCATATTTACTAATATAGTCAGGAGTATGACAATTAAGTAATATACAGTTCGGGGTTGCATGGATTTTTGTATGCTTCTATTTATTTCAGCTTTTTATTAAATGGAGAATTTTAAAAACATAAATTAGTATGTTGTCACCTGCTTTGATTGTGGAATGGACTTTCATTTCTTAATGGATATTATGAGATCAATGTCGTTAGGTAAAAGTGAGTCTTTTCAGGGTCTTCCATTTCACCTTGTAACTAATGCATTTTTCAAAATATTCTTATTTAAGCCCTGATTCTGCACTGTGGAAATCAATTAAAGTTTTGCCATACAAGCAGTATGAGGGCCTTAATCCCCGGCCATTCTTTTTTTTTTTAAAGAACAAATAAAAAGCATAAAATATATTTACTTACTAAGTGACCGGTTTCATTGGGGAAAAAATCTAAATAAAATCTACTAATTAACATTTTGAGTCGTGTGGTCTTTTGGCCCTAGTAATAGTTCAAAAACTTCACAATGTACCCAGATGTTAAGTTTTTTGGTAGCCTTCTCTTCAGTTCCAAATCCTTTCTCTGTTCCTTCTGCAATGACATGTCTCCTCTGTGATTCCATCATCTATAAGGCTGTCAGAAAGTCTCACACTGAAGTTTTGTTGTGGTAACCACATGACTATGGGGCGGCCGGGCCAAATTTGAGTGAGTAGCATTCTGACCTGGCACATGAGGTGAGATGCTATTTCAAGCCAGCTGGTTCTCCTTACGGGGGGGGCAGAGGCACACAGAGCCAACTGTGGAGACTATGGTCCCTGCCACTGGCAGTAGCATCCAAGGGATGACTGTGCTGAAATGAGCCGCCATTAGGGAGCAGAGGCGCAGGGGAGGCACGGTGGAGGGAGAACCTGATGCCCGGTCCATGTGCCGCTGCCTGTTTTGGACTGTGATAGCAACTCCTTTTTGGGGACCCTCGTGGTGGGGAGTAGAGCTGGATGTGGGGCAGAGTTGTGGTTTTGATGTGACCGTATCAAAGCCACAGCTTTCTTACAGCCTTGTTTATCTGCACTTTGGGAGAACATTTGACTGTTTTTACTGAGGGCTCGCATCTCGTCTGCTAGATGAGGCTCCCATGGGGACTCATTGATTTGATCCTAGCCCTTCTTGGAATTTAGCTGTAAAACATCAGAAACTACTGTTCAAAATGAGGGTCAATCTTTCTGTTCCTCTCATAACTCCTGTAACTTGACTGCTTTCTTTCTGGTTCCTATTTTTGGCACCTTCTGCCCTTTGTGGTTTCCAATATGTCATTCCAATTGTAGTCATATACTTATGACCAGTATTTTGTCCCTTCATTTCAAAGTTAATTTGTCTCAGTCTGTCCTTGTGAGAAGATCCCACATGTTTATTCTCACTGTAGGAAATGGCTGTAATTTGAGGCCCTATGGCAAATTGCTTGACAGTTTTGCTGAACTGTCAGTATTGAAGTCAAGTGCATGCTCTTTCTCAGGCTGCTGTTTTCTGGTTTTTTATTTGTTTTGGATTTTTTTTGTGCTAGAATGTCTTTCGGATTTTGTTTTCATGGATTTCAGATTTTTTTCCCCATGTTTGGCTATTAATTGACTATTGGCTTGTATTTATACAACAATTCAGTGGCAAGAAGACATGAAATTAGGTAAATGATGCTTTAAAAAACAGAAGCACAGAATCATAGAATGATAGAATATCAGGGTTGGAAGGGACCTCAGGAGGTCTAGTCCAACCCCCTGCTCAGAGCAGGACCAATCCCCAACTAAATCAGTAAAGCACACATTCATCAGTAATATTTTTTGTCTTTACATATAGTTAAAACAGCACTTCAGTGAAATCTCACTAATGTTGCTAGAGGATGTTAAAATACAAACACGTACAATTACATGTACAAAATACACAGAACTTTGCCTTGATAAAGTTTCCCCCCAAAAACCCACCATGATAGTTTTCTTCAGCTGTTTTACTTTTGTTTATTGGATGGAGATGAAACCAGATAATGCCATATTATGGAATTTATTGACAACAAAAGATTCTCATTTTTTAAAAAAACCTATAAAATACACTTGCTACAAGATAGCTCTGTTGATCCTGAAGATACTCATCTCCACCCCAAAAAGATCTAAATTTAGACAGTGCATAGTGTACTGTGCGGTGAAACCTGTTGTAAGGCTCTAATAAAACCAGTAAAAGTTGTTAGTTGCATAGTGATGATCTTATCATATAATCATTGAATTTAGGAATACTTTAAAGTGGTCTCTAAAAATATTTACTGGAGGGGAAATTTACTACAACTACCACTATAGATCTTTAATGAAATAAACAGGACGGTTAAACTCAGTTGATGCATCTTTATGTACAAGACATACAATTTATAATTCCAAACTTTTTATTGTTAATGGCCTGGATCAGGATATCGTAACCATGGAATGTGCCAATATAATGTTATGAAAAGTGGCTATCTCCATTTTAGTAACCTCAACCCACAACCACATTTGAATCTCTATATAGCAATTTGGTGTATTTTCTGGATTATTTTGAATTGTAGCAATTTCATTTACACTTCCAATGAAAGGTTAAGACTTCAGATCATTAATCCTGCATATGACGTACTGTGCAGACCTAAGGTGTGCAATAAGCAATACATTCATTTTCCTACTTGCATCTAACAGCTAAAATCTTGATTGCTACATAGATTTTTAGTAATAATAATAACTAATAAATTTGTTAGTCTCTAAGGTGCCACAAGTCCTCCTGTTCTTCTTTTTGCGGATACAGACTAACACGGCTGCTACTCTGATAGATTTTTAGAGCAGTGTTGTGTTTACACCTCTGAATTGTGGTAGCTGCATGAAAAAATTAGGTGATCCAAAGAGATGTAAGAGTTGCACTAATGGAAAACATATGATGCTTACGACAGCATTCCTTCATGAGTTGGATGTTTAGATACTGTAGTTAAGTGTATTGTTTGATTTTTCTGTTCCAGCTGTGGTGCTTGTTTGTTTCAAAATTTGTGTATCATTTAAGGCAAAGGCATGTCAAGTTGCCTAGTTCTATAATCCTACTCCTCTACTGTGTAGAATATCACCTACAGGGTAGTGAGAGGCCAGCTAATTGGTCCTATTTTCTCTGGAATTTTTTTTTTTTAATATCCAAATTATGATCTGTATTGCCTTGAAATGTAGCAAGTGTTAAGCCTTTCTCTACAACAGCAAAATAAGAACAAAATTGATAAATTGTGGGTTTATTGTTGATGAACAAAAATTGGTTGCTTGAGTTAATCTATTATGGCGAAAGACAAATCGAGTATATATCATGGTTGTGTGCATTAATTTGTGGTGAATGAGAATCGATATGTAAATTAGATACATCCCTCAATCTCTACCAGAGTACCAGGGCTGCGCTAGGTGTTAAGTTCGGGTATCACAGTTGCAACTTGTTTTATGTTAAATATTTTCTGCAAATGTAAATTTAATTTCAAAGTTATCTCTATTTAAGAATAACAGGCTGTTCGTTACATTGTTGAATGGTGTGTTATGGTATTATGTAGAACTTACTTTTTGCTTTTTAGGTTCATATATATTAGATTTGGGATTTCTGTGTATAACTTCAGCTGTGGTGGTTCTTTAAAATTCTCTAATTTTTCAGGGTTGCTTAAATAATACATTTGAAAACATAATTTGGCATAAATGTTTCTGACCAGCCATCATACACCAGCAAGCTTTCTACTGAGCGCGCGCGTATTAAATGAAATAATATCCTAGCTTTAATTATATAGGGCCTGAATTTCCTTTCTTCTACACGAGTATTATGCTTGTGTAACTGATGTATAAACAGCGATAGCTGTTCTGGAGATTCAGGTCTATAGTGTGCATAAGCATATATATATATGAAAGGCATTAAAGGCTGCTGTTCTCTCTGTTATGCCTTCTGAAAAAGAAATTAGCCTTAAAAATTCAGCAGTTCTTGTCTATAAGGGAACTGCATTAAATAGCATAATCATACTCCTCTTGATACAGTAAAAGCTAAGTTTAAGTTCTGGTGGCAAACTTCATTAGCAGCTGTTTCTCCCAACTATACTTCAAACAGTGGTTGAGTTGTGAATGCTTTTAACTTCCGACAGGATTTCCCCACTGTCGCAAATGTATAAAACTCACAGGGACTGTCAAACTTAAATCTGTAGAATTTCAGCAAAGGGAGTGCTACATTAATGTTTGAAAACTAATTCACTCACCTGAAAAGTACTTTTAAGGGTTTACCTGATGCATGTCATTTGCTTCATTTTTTTATATATATATTTTTTTAACATGAGGAGCCACTTAACATGATTTGGCTTGTCTGGTTTATAATGTTTGTTTGTATGTACATTTTGTTCCCAGAATACATTGCCTTTTTCAACAGATAAATTTAAACTGTCTCAGGATTCTTTGCTCTGGGTAGTGTTTGGTTCACAGCTTTTTTGCCCTCATGTCACTACTTTGATAAGCCATCGGACAGCTACTCTATTTTAATTCTGTGAAATGAATTGTTGGTGTTAATTGATTGCTTAGTCTGTGGATATCTACCTCATGCATACCACCAGAACATGGCACCCAGACCTGAGGCAGCCATGGTCATCATAAGTAAGTGGTGTTCCTAGTCACATGAGGGGAACAATTGCCCTCCTGGATTGTCAGCCAAAAACTTGGAATTCTTTATTTCAGAAATGCCAAGAGGGGAAGTGTCATCAACCAGGGAAAAGAGTCAGAAGGCTTTGCCATGAGTACTGTAGCAAGGTAAATTAATTTAAGCCATACTAGTGATAGGGCCATTTGGAATAATGACATAGTACTTAATACTAATACCTTCATTCACATCCTGTTTAATTACAGTTACAATCTTGGTTGCTTCATCCTTTTGGCATCTGCTTTCTCACTCAGATCCTATTTAAAATTATGATACAACATTCTGAATATGCCTTTGTGAAGTATATTAAAATATTGGAAATTATAATGTATTCTAAAAACATCAAGGAGAGCGAGGAGCAGCCCATTATTCTCAGACTGGGGGAGCTTTCGCATGAACACAAAAATGACTCTTGCATGAAGCTAGTAAAAAATTGCATAACGATGTTATGTGCCTGATAGCATCAAGATGAAGCAGATAGCTTAAGTGTTTAAATGTTTAACTGAGCTGTGTATATATTTTTAGTTTACATGAACCTTTTTTGGTAATTGGGATTTGTACAGTTGTATTGTACCCATTATTAAGGGAATATTTAGCTATTTTCAGCGGTTGCTCTTTTTATCAGATTTTCTTCACTTTTTTCAGCTTCTGTTAGTTTCCCAAAGTTTTTCTCATCCCTCCTTTTGGAAAGGCATTTTGTACCTTATGTTTTTAACCCCTCTTTGCTGCGCTGTTTTTTTTTGGGGGGAGGGGGAGGGGGGGTTAAGTCTGGGATTAAAACCACCTCCCTAAAGGCAGCTTTCACCTGCTACCTTGGCAGAGTCAGCTGGTTTTGTTTAATACACAGCAATTTTCATGCATTCCCACAGCTTATAGAGCACCGTTTCTTATTGATTTGGTGCTTTGGAGAGCTTAGACATAAGCCTTGGGAAGCTGAAATGAAGAAAGGTGACACAGTAGGAGGGAGAGAAGCCAGGAGAGTCTCTTATATAATGGTTTATGTTCAAAAAGAAAACTGGGGAACTGCACTTGTTGATGTATGAAACATTTCCAGAGAACAGGCCCATAGTAGTCTGTTTGGAAACCTTAAAGATCAGAGATGATAAAGCTGTCTGAAGTAGCACGTAAATTGTAAGGTTAGCTTTATTTGAGATGGGTTTCCAGTAAACTAATCATCCTGAAATAAGAGGGGCAGTCTCATTTAATTCAAATGTTGATGCTGTTGTCTTTATGGTCTTTGAGGCATACTACCATAGTACAGCTTTATTGCCATGTTTTTTTGTAAATATCATTGTAAAATAGCTACTGTCAATTAAAGCTCATAGAAGAAACATGACTTTGACATAATATTTGACATGAAACAGAGTTTCCAATTATCCAAATGTATTGAAGTGTTGACTTGACACAATCACAATAGAGAAAGGGGGAGAGCAAAAAAGATTACCAATTTCTGATTTGCTTATTCTAAGTTTTAATATATTAGTTGCTGTTCAAGTCACAGCAAGTATCCCAGTATCAAGTGGTGGAAGTGTCAGACCGAGCAGAGTGGAAATTATGGCGGGATAATCTTTCTCCAGGTGCCTTGAAAAACAGCAGTTTAAGGAGTGACAGAATTTGAAATAAGGAGCAAACCTACAGTGTCTAACTTGATTTGTTCTCAGCAAGCCATTTCAGCAGGGTTCTCTGAGGCAAAAAATAATAAATTGAAGTTATCTTGGTGTGCAGTGTTTAATTGACTGCAGTCTAAATTATTCATTTAGCATGAATTCAGCAATGACCCTTTTGATCCATAGGGTAAAGGTAGTTTTATGGGCTTACAACCCTTTTTATACAAAATGTTTACTTTACAAACTAGAGAAGTGATTTGTAACGTTTGTAATTTGTAATTTTTTCTTCATTTTGCTACTTTTGTGAACATAGTAGTGTTGGATGAAAGGTTGCCTTGTTAGATTAAAACAATATTGAATGTGTACAGGTATTACTGTTTTAGAGTAAATGTGTCCAGTTTATCCTTTTAAATTGAGGGCATAAACTGAGGAGAACCTGTCTATCTGATAGTACCAGATTCTTCAGAACCATTATTAATCTTTTAAAACCAAGGCTGTAATCTTCAAAATTGTGCCCAGATTAGGCACGCACAAATCTGTTTGCATGCGAGTCTGCAGGAGCGGCGCCAGGGTTTTCAGGCGCCCTAGGCAGGGGTCCTTCCGCGCTCCTGGTCGTTGTCGGCAATTCTGCGGCGGGGGGGTCCTTCCGCGCTCCCGGGTGCTTCAGGGCACTTCGGCGGCGGGTCCTGGAGCAAGTGAAGGACCCGCCGCCAAAAACCCAGAGCACGGAAGGACCCTCTGCCGCCGAATTGCCGCCGCGCCCCTCCCCCCCCCCCAAATCCTGGTGCCCTAGGCAACCGCCTAAGTCGCCTAAATGAAAGCGCCGGCCCTGTGAGTATGGGGGGCAATGTCGACCTATGTTAAGCTCTGGCAGAAGCATGCATACATTTTAAAAGATTTCAGCCTTACCTCTCCAGACTGTATTTTATTTAAAAATGTAAAGTGTTGACAGGGGGTTATATTTTGGTAGCTCTTGTGGAGTTAGCTAATTATTTTGTTCTAATTTGTATTGGGGTACCTAGGGCTTTTGATAAATGCCTCAGTTTATATTTTCATAACTTAAAAGAAATATTTAGTAAAATGAGTGCTAATTTTTAATATGACTGCTGATAGACTCCTCCAGTATTCCTTCCCTCAAAGGTCAGTAAAGTACATATAGTAAAGCCATTACACAGAGATGCTAAGTGACTTTATCAAGGCTACACTGCAAGTAAGTGGCAGTCCCAGAATTAGATCTGAATATCTGGCTCCTAGCTCTTTGCTCAGTGTACTAGGCCAGTCTGTTTCTAACATGCATATGTGTGAGATCTGATAGATTTTCCTCACATTGAAAATCTACATAATCTTTGCTGAAAACTGAAAGCCATGTTAATAGTTGATTTATTTCTTATTTCAGGCTGTCAGTAACATACCATATCCTTTGTTGACTGGAGTCAGAACTTTACCCACCGTAGAAGTTAAATCATCAGAAAGGCCTTCAAGCCAAAGCAAAGATCCTCCCAGAGATGAAGAAAAGGAAAAGAAAAAAAAGAAACACAAGAAAAGATCTCGGACAAGATCTCGGTCACCTTCCAAATATCATTCATCATCTAAGTCCAGGTCTAGATCACATTCAAAAGCAAAGCATGCACTTCCCACTGCCTATAGAACTGTCAGGCACTCAAGGTGGGTTTGGAAGTGGAAAGTATGCTTTACTATTCTATTTGGGCTAGTATTTAATTTGCCTCTGCACCTTTTTCTATACACATCAGAAAGAAAATCAACGTGTATAATGTAGATAAGAGAACTGGAAAACTTTCAGTAAATACATAATCTTTATATTTGATAATGTTCTGAAAGATTTCATTTAAGTATTTGCAAGATAGTTTCTAATCACAACTTTATAGAGTGAATCTACTAAATGATTCTCTAACTGGTCCACGAAACGCTTGCTGATGGTCTGTGCTTGTGTTAAGTCATAGGGCGCTGACTCCCTCTGTTTCCAGCTACTTCCACAGGTAGTTTTATTCATTTCAAAGAGGAGCCTGGACACCTGTAAAATAGCTGCGAACAAAGGTGGGGAGCATATTGGGAGGGGGGTCTGTAGTTACATCGGCAGAGGAAGAAGTATGAGCTGTCCTCCGTGACTAGGGCCACCAGCAGGATAAACTGCAAGTAAGAGTGTCAGGAGCTACAATGGCTCTGCAGCTGGTACTGGGATAGAGAAGTAGAGCAGAAGGGAATAAGGAAACAAGGTGTCATGTCTGGGTAAGCAATGAAAAAGAGAGGAGCAGGTGGTAGAGCAGCACACCCAGGAGAGTAGAGAACGAAACTAAGGAGTTGGGCAGTGTGTGCCAAGATGATATGAAGGGCCAGCAGGGCATCCGAGAGAGAGAAACAGAATAGACTGGAAAGGGAGACAAGAAAACAGTGCAACTAACTTTGTTAAAAAAGCCCATTAAAGTCAGTTAAAAATACAGAAATACATTCCTGTTATATTACTACATAAGCAAATACTTCAGTCAACACAGGAAAGTTGCGTGATTGCAAATGGGAGAGGCAGTGTCCATGAGACACTTGAGATGTGGTCCACATTTTGAAAAAGTCCCCAAACCCTTTTAGTAACTTAGAGTTTTGGGTGATTTTTCACATAGATTCCACTCTTCGTGCTCATGCATCCCATGCACTTCATCGGATTCTTTTGACTAGCTGTGTCCCCAACTCACTCATCTGAGGGCATAAAGGGAAGAGCAGGCCCAACAACCTCTCAGGCTCTTCTTTACTGCCAGTGACTGTGAGGTGGAACTCCTGGCGTCATTGCTCCCTCTGCAGTTCACCTTAGATTTAGGATAGTGTTAGTGTAGTTAAGTTTCCTTTGCTTGTTGACATGTATATAAAACCCTGATTTTGATCCTCTTTCAGTCATTTACATTTCATTTTGTTGAGGACAGCCCCCCGCACCCCATACGGAGGTGCTATGACCATGGCAGAGGCTAAATCACTAGGGTATTAAACATGTCCGTTAGACATGTCCCCCCATCTAACTCTGCTGGGCCAGTCAGTAACAGACATTCTTGGTGCCTAATATGCCTTGGGGAAGGACACATTCTGGAACATTGTTCCATGTATCATTTCTTCTCCAGGTGTATCCAGAGAGTGAGGGAGGTGAGAATAAAACTTCTCCTTGTGGAGAAGTCAATGCAGATCTTCTCAGACTCTGAGAAATCTTGGGAGAAGCCTTAATCTGTGGATTGGTCAGCGTCCTGGTGACTCCATTCTGAACTCCCAGGCTACTTCCTGTCTCAGCCCTTATTCATCCCCCACTACATCAGCAATGACATCTGGTAGAGGCAAGTGATGAGGCAAGGTACAGGTTGCCTTTCTCAGCACCTAACAGGAGGCACATGAGTCATCATGACTTGGCCCCAGGCTCAGTCAAGAGTCATAAGTAAGAGAATACCTTTGCCAATAGGTCAGTACTGACATCTATGGCAGCTCACGTGATACTGTTTAAATCTAAGGACTTCTCTGCGTCCAGTACTGGCCCCTCAGCACAGGCTTCGGTACCCAGCATGTCCTCGTTGACTACCACATTCTTGCTGATGACTGTACCCATTCCATCACTACAGACTATCTCTTTGGGACCTGAGACATTAGTATTAACTTATTTGGCACTGTAGCAATATAAATTGCCAAGTGATGTGTTGGTCGGCTCAGTTTTGGAGTTTCAGAGAGATCTGGGGAGGTTATTATAAACTTGCCTACTGTAGAGCTTCCACACCTGGCCAGGGAAGTATTCTGTATTCTGATCCCCTGGTTCATAGGCAGGGGACTCCTGACAGGACTTCCCCTTCCTTAGAGGAGATATGCTCCTCCCCCTACCATGAACATAGCAAGGAAGTATCCCTTACCTATCCTTCATCTCCTCCCGAATAGCTGAATGGGAATCAGGGAGAGAATCCAGAAAACAATCAGTAAGGGGAGCTAGGAAGAGCACTCCACCTTGCATCCCTCACTGTGCCACTATCCCCCTGCTTTCTGGGGCTTTCAACCCTACTATAGAAAACTAGTGTCCTCCACTGTATTTAGAGATAGGTCGTCTCACTGAAGAAGCAAATTTAACCTCCATAGGCAACTCCATCCATGGCTGCTGCAGAGTCAAGAGGAGAGTGGCAAAGAAGAGCAATCTCCTGAGCAGAATCATCAAATTCTGGTTCCAATGTCTTCCTTCACAGATGAAGCAGGGAACCCACTTTCATTGCTCTTGACAAATGAATTCAGAGATATCTAGGACTTCATAAAAAGTACGGCTGACACTTTTGATATCTCTTTGGAGATTATACAAGAGAGAGAGCATAAATTCTTTGATGTTCTCTGGTGTGCAACTCCAGAGAGATTGGCCATGCCATTCAATCTGTTGGAACCCAGCGAATCATTTTGGCCCACAGCAGAGATGGAAGCGGCTACCTCTGAAAAAGCAGAAAGAAGATGTTGGATTCCTGCTAAGGGGTTTGAATACTTTTACCAAATATCCTATATCTGGCTCTCTGGAGGTAGAAGCTTACAGGAGAGGATAAAAGAACGAGTCTACAGCTCATGAGACAGACCCCAAAAAGCTAGGATTTTTTGGTCAAAAGGTGTATTTGTCTGCGAATCTACAAAGGAGGCTAGCAGATTGCCACGTGATACCCTCAAAATATATATTTTTTGAATTGGTACAAACTATCCAATGTGGTGGATAAATTACCCAATGATCACTAACTGAAATCTGTTACGACTGAGGGCCACCTAACTGCCAGAACATCTCTGCAGACTGTGCTGGATGTGTCTGTCACTCATCTGAACAAAGGCCACTGCAGCTGCTGTGAAGAGATTGTCAGGGCTCAAGTCATCTGGGACCTTCCAGGGGGTCTAGGCAACAGTCAAGGACCTCCTCATTTGAGGGCAACAATCACTTTAACAGTGGCACTGATGAGGCGCTCCATACCCTGTAAGATTTCAGGGCAGCTTTGTGCTCCTTGGGATTCTGTCTCAGCTCCAAAAAGAAAGCAGCCAAGACAAGCCATACTTCAGGCAGTGTTCTTTGACACGATTATCATTAGGATCCTTACAGCCTCCAAGGAAGAGGCAGAAAGTGGAGGCAACCCTCTGCTGGCTCCTCAGCTGTTCCATAGTCTGGGGCTTCAAATAGGCAGAAGAATCAATGCTATTGTCGGGAGCCTGCTTGGACCATCACGGGATCTCTTCTTTTTTTAACCCCACTCTCCCAGCTTAATATTGTAAATAAAGGGCATCCCATCCAGTTTCAATCCCTTCCAATACACACACTCCCAGGGACCCTCTCACAAGAAACTCCCCTTGCCTTTCCCGCCCGCCCCCACAAGAAGCAAGATGTAAACTGCCTCTTACAACTGTGAGCAATGTAGGAGGATGCCCTTGGAGTTCAATATGTTAGGGTTCAATTTAGATTATTGATGAAATGTCCGATAATCCAGGCCCAATCACTGTATTACTCAAAGATTATTAGTCAAAGGTTAATCAGCATGATAAAGAAAAGCAAATACATTACTGATCCAGGGAAGCAGTGCTGCTGCCTGGTCTATTCCAACTACTACTAAGAAATTTACCCTTGTTATATACCATCCATGTCTACGAAAGAGACAAAATTGCATTCTCATGCCCTATTGAGCCATGGAGTTCCCTTCATGGCCTCTTAATTTACATAATAGATAAGCTAAAGACATTGATCACAGAGGGATCTGTAACAAGTATTCCCTTTTTTAATTTTCTGGATACAATTTTCTGAGTGTCAACAGGTCAGAGCAATGAGACAAAACACACCAAGCTTTAGATGCAAAGCGTTACAGGACTCTGGTTCATCTATAAAGGCCTCTGGGAGTCTGATTCATCTGCTAACGAGGGGCAATGGCTTTTATTCCCACTACCTCTTACTCTCAAAGAAGAACAAGGCTTGTGATGGCTCATCCTCAAATCTTCGACATCTCAACATCTTCATCTGCAATTTTCAAATTTAGAATGGTGACTTACTTCTGACTTTTATAAATTCCTTCATTAGATCCTGTGGACTGATTCCCACAGCTTTCGACCACCAAGGTGCCTACCTTCCAATCACCATGTATCTAGCTCACAGGAAGTAACAGATTCCTTCTAGGAACATCCTACTGCCAATAGAGTTCAGCCCTTCATCCCCTTTACCTTGCCAAGTTTTTATCACATGCCGTTTGGTAGTGGCAAGTCATCCAAGGAGACAGGGAATCCAGCAATAATCTTACCTAGATGACTGTCTAATTCAGGAAAGATCACTACAGGTAATTGGTTCAGTACAGACCGTCCTGAAAATTTTCACCTTGTTAGGTCTCAGTATAAACACAGAGCAATTCTTTCTGACACCATAGCACTAACAGAAGCATTGTTAGACTCCAGATCAGTGAGGTCCTACCTTCAAAGTGCTGGTAGACAGCTCTGCAGCAATGCACTGTATCAACAGGCAAGGGGCAACATGATCATCCCTACCGTGTCAAGATGCTGTATGCCTTTTGGAGTGGTGCATTCTGCACCAGATCTTGCCAGTAGCTCTGCACCTTCTGGGTCTTCAAAATACTCTAGCAGACCGGTTTAGCAGGGGACTTTTCCAAGAACTACAAATGGTCTATCAAATACTCAGT